AAACGCAGCATTTTTAGGCTCCACACACTAAGTCCATTCACAATATGAGCAACTGGCAACTAAACAATACCAAAATCTGTCAGTGAAAAATTTATTTAGTTTAGCGGAGCCAGCACAAAGACACACACACACACACACACACACACACACACACACACACACACACACACACACAGACAGACGCACACAAACATTTGATTCATCTGGTCCAGTCACCCTATGTGCCTGCTTTGTGATATGCTAAACATTCTGTAAACATTATCCTGTGCATGGTTACTGTCGCCATGGCAGCACGACAACAGCGCTGAGCTCGGCCCCTCAAACACGGGACAGTAGTGTTATTTAATATTTGGCTACGCATGAGCACAGCATGTTTCTATCACATAATCCTGTCACACCAGTGAAGACTTCTCCGTGCGGCCGTCCCGACTCCCCTCCGGGCGGCCGAGCGAAGCCCAGCTGTTGCTATGTTTTGGCCTTATCGCACAACAACAACAAAGAATAAAATGCTGGCTGAGAACAGTCTGCCCTTAGAGCAATCCCACACACTTTGTCCACTGTCAGCATCACATGGGACAGGAACAGATGCTTTTGCTGAGATTTGGGGCACTTACATCATGTGGAGGAAACGTATCGAGTTCAGTAAATCAGGGCAAAAACAGATCTGTTTGTGTGGCTGTAGCTGAGGAGTCTGATGCCAAAATAACTTCAACTAAATAAGGAGAGTATACGCTATTTTCATCTCTGTTTCAAAATAGCAGCATTTTAGAGCTTGAGGGCTCTGTAATCAGTTGGTGTTGGAGTTGCTAAACAAACTGAAGTCATAGTTCAATCCCTGTCAAAACAATCAGTGGCAGACCTTCGTCCTGTCCAATGCGGACGCTGAGGTAACCTGCTCACTGAGCTGTGAAGATCTATTATGGTTTGTTTTTGGGTTGAAACTCTGCTGCAACTAAGACGCTTGACATGTGACTGTATTTCTCCACCTATTAGAGCTGATTCAAATAGTTTGATAATCTTCTATGGCTTCATTGCAGATCTCAAAAGCTGCACCTCAGCCTAAAATCCTCCTTTGACTTTTTAGATTGTCTTGCAGTTACAGCTGATAGTTTACAGATAACTTTTAGAAACCTGCCTGAATGGAATCAAAAAGTTCCCCCACTTTCACTATTGTGTTAACTACTACTATTATCCACTTTTATTGTAATGTATCTTTGCATGTCATGTTTTAATCATTGGTCATTCTTATTTTTACCAATGTTCTTTTAAGCACTTTCAAGCATATTTTATAATAATTAGAAATAAATATCCACAAAATTTCACAAAAAGGTCGAATTACCTTTACTACAAATTATCTGGTGCACATAAAAAAAGTAAAAAAAACGTACACATGTGCATAAAAAGTGTTAAAATGTGCAGAAAAAGAGAGAATCTCATTTTCTGCTTCTTTTCTGCATTTCTTGCTTCATTAAAATGTTTTTTTACTTTCCTCATTCATAATCTTGTGTTTTATGTTTTGCATATGTATTTCTAAATCATTTAAAATCATGTAGGCTTATTTTAGATTTTCCTATTCTCTGTTTATATGTCTTCTTTATACACTTTATAAATAACAAAGTGTAATGAATGGTGAAATGTTTCAACTGCAAGGTAAAATATCCACCTTTAACAGATATTATGCACCAAACTTCACAGAATAAAATGAGTTTGCTCTGAAGCAAACTGTGAAAACACAAGTACAGACACAGTGTACCTGGGGGCTGTAATCAGACCACATGCACCGTGAACCATTTTTCATAATGTCCTGACGTTTCACACAGAAGTGCAGCCCATTGGCTCTTGGAAAGAGAAACACTTGTCAAAACATCCATCAGGAGCGAAGTGAACTGGCTGCAGCGCATTCACCCGTGGAATCAAAGGAAGGTGTGTCTGCTGCTTCCACAGCCCTGGAAACGTCCAGGAGAGGTGTTGGCGCTGTAACCATAGCAACGTAAACAGGAGGGTTCAAACACAGATTAAAATGTGTGCAAAGATTATGTAAGGTGTGTGCCTGAGTGTGTGTGTGTGTCTGTGTGTGTGTGCATACGTTCAGGCACACATGGTTTCTTATGTTTCTTAAGGCAAAGTCTTAAAGGCAGAGTCTCCTCTCAGGCTCTGCAGCCCGTTGAAAAACACTTCAGCCTGTGACGCCCTTTACTCACTTCTGGCGTTCGGCGTGGCAGCAGGCGTGCAGTTTATTAGCAAACGTAAGTGTGTGTTTTACAGCATTTCGACAGAATAAAAATAAGTCTGTCTCTGTCTGTGTGATTACCATGAGGGAAGTTAAATTCTATTTAATCTGTTCTTGGCTTCACCTGGTTTTTCCACCCATTCTCACACTGAAGGAGTTGTCTCCCACTCAAACCAATTAATATATACACAGACACAACCTCAAAAACCGGAGGAATCATATACACACAGCTGGAGCAGTGATGATGTTTGCTCCACATCTGGGACAGATTCACTTCTCAAATCTTGGGAAGAAAAAAGAATGAGTGAGAAGGTCTATTGTGTCCACAGCTGTGAACCTTTTGAATGACATCTGAAACTTCTTTTTTAAGGTTTTATTTCTCATTGATCCCATCATCAGGTGCATCATTCATATACAGCCTTTTATTTGTTAATTGATCAGCTCTACATTATTGTTTGATTTAGTGGTCATCTTGATGCTATGTGTGCTACGGAGCTACTCTATGTCACCTACAGTTGTGGAGTTTTTCCTTAATAAATATTCAAGAGAGCAGTTCATTTTGTCACCACAGTGTGACTGGGAAAACAAATAAACATAATTATCTAGTGTCTCTGTGCACGGTTCATTAGTTTTGAAATATTCGATTACATGCAGTAGTTCTGAATATATGTGAATCATGTGTTAATTTAATATTTTTTGGGTGGTATGATGCATTCTTCTGCTCATCTTCTCCACTGGGCTACCAGGCGCCGCAGAGGGCTGTATTTCTTATAGAAATATCAGTTTTAACATTTATTACACTTGGTTTGTGTGTTCCACCTGTGCAGCAAACAAGTGCAGATCAGGAATATGACTGTTGGACTTGAACAGTGAAGATCCAGTGATGTTTGATGGGCTTTGTGCTCTTACTATCTCAAGGCTGTTTCAAGAACTAACAAAAAGATTTCAATGATATCAAGTGGAATATTAAAATAATTCTCTCCCATGAGTGTCTTTCATTATATGTTTTTGATGTAGATTCATGTCCTGATTCAAATTAAATACATTCAAATAATTTCTATTATTAGCCTGCGTATTCTCCGATGGCTTGTGAGTTTCTTCATTTGATATTAAACAACAGCCAAAAATGGGACAAAGTCACAGCAGCAGCAGCAGCACAGAAAACTACCTCAAATTTTCCTTGTTACATAGACTAATGAGTTAATGAAATTTCCAATGAGGTTTTCAAAGTGTGTACACCTCTGTATCTTTTGTATTAGGTAAGACTGCTGCAGTTTCAAGTGTATTTCTTAGGTCTGCTGGAGTCCAAGTCAGGATCAACTGTCTATACTCGACAAAGCAATGTAAAGCAGTTACTGTATCACTCCCAATCGTCGTGATTTCTAAATTAAACTGGTTTATGATTTCTAGAAAATACTATGTAACATCTGCACACCTGCACATTCACACGTGCACAAACAGGAGGAAAGTAGGCAGAAAGAACTCTACAAGCCCTATTTCATTCCAGTTGAGTCCACCCAGGTTGAAAACTGAAGCATTCATGGTATGTAGGCGAAGGTGTGTTTTGAATGAAAGCGAGCATGAGAGTGCACATGAGGGAGAGTGAGTCACATGTGTCTATGGACATTCTCATCAAAGTTCAACACGGAGGCAATGCAGCAGAGGAGCCCCTGAAGGTCATACTGTTGTTCAAGGTGAGTTCAAGCAGCTGTCTGCTGTATGTCAGATCATAAAACTTTGCAGCAAAGTATGTAGGCTCTGACCTTTTAAATGAGTAAAGATTTATGACACCTTATACTTTTAGTCTACACTTTTTATTCCACATGGAAATATTTTACATTAGTCCACTACATTTATCTAACAGCTTTAGCGACTAGTTATTTTGCAGACTGAGAATTTAACCAATATTAAAAATGTTGAATAAGAGCATAAACTTATTTTTTTGACTATTATTTGCATTTGAACATTTCTTTGGATGTTACACCACTTTCTCTTTTTTTCCGCATTTATCAATGTTGCAAACAAACATCAATAAATCTGGAATTAATTTTATTTGCAATCACTGTCTTAACAATTTTGTTCCCATTTCAGCCAATTTCCCATTATTTCATTATGGATTTATACATTTGAAATATATTAGATTGTTCTAAAAAATGATAATCATATATATTCTTGCAGAATAACACAGGCCTAGGAGCACAGATACAAGGGCCCAAGAGATCAGGGGGTCTATTTCTTGTTTGATAGTCATAGAGCTAATTTAAAATACACAAATGACCACAAAGTTATGCAAAATTATCATAAAGGGGGGGCAGAATGAACGTAAGTATAAGCTCAATGACCATAAAACAACCACAAAGAAATGCAAAAGACAAAAGGCGACTACAAAAGAGACACAAGGTGAACAAAAAGAGACGCAAAATGACGAAGAGATATGTTTCTGTTTTCTCATAATCCGTCCGTGCATATCACTGAAGACACTGTAAGAACACAGACTACAATATGGCAGCTGTAGGGTCAGACCATACCTCTTAAAAAGTCACCTCCACGCTTTGCTGTAAGCAGGAGTCTGAAATCACTGGGCAAAAAAAGGAGCGAGTAAAACAACAAGCCCCAGAATCCTTAGCGGCGACGCGAGCGTCTGTGTGTGTGTGTGTGTGTGTGTGTGTGTGTGTGTGTGTGTGTGTGTTTTCTCTGTGTCTCCTCCCACAGCTACAGTGAACGGACAGGACGGGTCAGCTCTGTGTTTACGCTGAGATGCTCACAACAAAGGACAGCACGCAGAGAGCCTGTCATTTAAAAAAAAACACACCGTGATATTTTGTCTCACGGTGACCATTTGTAACTCGTAACTCCAGGAAGAAGAAGACACATCACACAAAGCCCTTATTGGCGTCCATGTTTTTTACGTTTTATATTTATTTTTTATTTTTTTGGTAAACCCGGCTAGAGGGGGAAAAATTAAGACGAAAATTTCCTTCTTTTTTTTTTTTTGTGCCGGTGGAACGGTAGCTAGCTTGCTAGCCTCAGCAAGTTGGGAAAGACAGGCAGCAGCACACCACAGTCAGCCACACCGAGCAGAGACAATAAGAGGACTTCATCATTTATATCGCTGTGAGTACATGTTAAAAGCCACCTGACTTCACTTGATAATAATAAAGATACTAGTCGTAATAATACCAACGGTTGAACACTAACGGTAGTAGGCTAATTCAACGCTATCCAGTCTATCCAGTGTTCTCTGTTTCTAACCGTCACCTGCTTTGTCCGATGAACTGATGATTTATTAACGTTACTTCACCTCATTTAGTAAGTAAGCACTCAGCAGGTAAGTCAGTGTGAGAGCTGCAGCAGCAGAGCACTGATCTTTGTCAAGTGTTCTGACACACACACACACACACACACACACACACACACACACACACACACACACACACACACACACACACACAAGCATACTCATGCACCTGCTTTGACTCGGTCTTTGTTTTATCTCAGTGCAAATCGAGGGGCTCTATAAAGATAAAGCTCCTGGTGAGCAGTGGCTGTATCAGTGTGTGTGTGTGAATGTGTGTGTATGTGTGTGTGAAGGCTTCAGAAATGCAGATATTAGTTTACATCACTTCCAGTCTGCATGATGAACTGTCACAGCGGTGGGTGGGGGTCTGGGGTTGGGGGGTGGGGGGGATGAGTGAGAAAGGGAACATTGCCTGATAAGGAATTAACCAAATGCATGGACTCTTGCCATTACTAAAGCATGATTGCCAGTTAATGACCTCCCTCCCCTCCCCTCCCCTCCCTTCCCTTTCTTTCCCTATGTCCAATCTCTTTCTGCGTGCCCCCCCCCCCCCCCCCCCCTAAACCCGGCTAGAGGGGGAAAAATTTAAGACAAAAATTTCCTCTTTTTTTTTTTTTTGTGCCGTGGAACGGGTAGCTAGCTTGCTAGCCTCAGCAAGTTGGGAAAGACAGGCAGCAGCACACCACAGTCAGCCACACCGAGCAGAGACAATAGAGGACTTCATCATTTATATCGCTGTGAGTACATGTTAAAAGCCACCTGACTTCACTTGATAATAATAAAGATACTAGTCGTAATAATACCAACGGGTGAACACTAACGGTAGTAGGCTTATATTCAACGCTATCCAGTCTATCCAGTGTTCTCTGTTTCTAACCGTCACCTGCTTTGTCCGATGAACTGATGATTTATTAACGTTACTTCACCTCATTTAGTAAGTAAGCACTCCAGCAGGTAAGTCAGTGTGAGAGCTGCAGCAGCAGAGCACTGATCTTTGTCAAGTGTTCTGCACACACACACACACAC